TTTGTTACAATATTGTTTCTGTTTTATGTTTTGGTATTTTGGTCAGGAGGTCTGTAGGATCCTGACCAGGGACAGAACCCACACCCCCTGCATTGGAAGGTGAAGTTTTAACCACTGGACTGCCCCAGTCCTTCCCCAGGGAAGTCCCCCAGAAATTGCATTTCTAGGAAATTTCCCTACAGATACATTTACTCACATGCAAATAAATGTATAAGGATATTCGTTGCTGTTTGTTTATAATCACAGAAGACTGGAAACCAATTGCATTTCACTAGAGGATTTGTTTAAAAATATATGGACCAGCCATGCAAAGGAATAGAATGAATTACTAACAAAACTTAGGTGGTTCTAAATAAACTGACTTTAAAAGATTTCGAAGAACCATAGTTATTAGAAAAACAACAAAGCAACAGAGCAGTGTGTATAGTTTGCTACTTTTTGTAGGTTTTTAAATTTATATGTGTATTTGTGTATGCATCTCTAGAAAGATACCAAGAACTTGTAATGGTGGTTACCTTTGGCAAAGTTTACCAGGTAGCTGGGAGACTGTAGGATGGTCTTCATTTTTATTATATGTCCTTTTGTACCCTTTGAAATTTGTTTTATGTGCATATATTATTTATTCTAAGTAAATACATAAGAAATTAATTTCAGTAATTGATTGTTGTGATGGCCTCTGGATGATACTAGAGGGATCAGATCACAGCCACTCCTGTCATCCTAACTTCTTATTTTGTCCCCTCATCTCCAGTCATGTCCCATTCTGTCTTCACAGTGCAGAGAGATTGTTCTAAAACACCATTTCATCCCGTATCCTCCCTACCCCCAAATCTCCATGATCTAGGAGGTAATATCCAGTTTTTCTCCTGATATTCCAGGCCATATATTAACTGATCTTAACTGTATCTTCCTCTTGTTTGTCAGAAGCAAACTGTACAGAGTTCAGTAGCAAAGTCTTTGAAGAGAGACCACCTGGGTTCAAACCCACTATGACCTTAGGTTAAGCCACTTAATCCCAGTGTGCTTCAGGTTAATCATCTGCAACATAAGCTCAACAAAGACACTTACTTAGCAGTGTTTAGAAGCTATACAACAAAGAAGAGTTAGTTGCTTGTCCAACTCTTTGCAACCCATGGATTGGAGTTCACCAGGCTCCTCTGTCCACGGGATTCTCCAGGCAAGAATACTGGAGCAGGTTGCCATTTCCTGCTCCAGGAGATCTTCCTGACCAAGGGATAGAACCCAGGTCTCCTGCATTTCAGGCAGACTCTACTGTCTGAGGCTTCAGGGAAGCTAAAGTAGCAGTGTTTGGTACATAATAAAAGTATACATTATACATTGACTGTCGTTGCTATAATAATAATACTTTGGGGCTTATCATCCGTGATCATTTTTATTGGCCTTTTTACACAGTATTTTCTGTCTCTCCCAGTAAACTGTGGGGCCTCCATGAGGGCAAGGACTTTGTTGTTTTATTTGAAAGTATATGACTTGACTTTTTTTTTTAAAGTACATTACTATGGCTTGGCACATAGTTCTTGTTTAGTCACTAAGCCATGTCCCGACATTCTTGTGACCCCATGGACTGTAGCCTGCTAGGCTCCTCTGGCAATGAAATTTTCCAGGCAAGAATACTGGAGTGGGTTGCCATAGGTACTCACTAATATTTGACTGAATGCCTTGTTTTCAAATTCCCAGTTTATTTATTCATTCAACAAATACTTATTAAGTCTCTAATGTGTGCCAGTCTCTATTTGGTGATAAAGCAGTGTACAAGAAGTCCCTGCTATCTCTGAGCTAGGAGATTCAAGGTGGAGTGTTTCTGTATTTGAACGTGTTCTATCATGATCTAGCGGTTCCAAACCCAATTGGCCATCAGAATCCCTGGGGAGCTTTAGAAGTCTGAGGCAGTGTCTACAGCGGGCCCTGTAACCTACAGATTTTTACACAGGATTTTTTATCATCATTAAAAGTGTGAATTTTAAAGATTCTTGGGTGCATGGCCCACATCAGTTGGCTCATTCAACTTTATTATCTATCTCATCCCCAGTAGCTTTTCCAGAATTACTTCACTATGAAAGGAAACTCCATGTGTTTTCCCAATTCAAACTTGAACTTCTTCAGCATTTTTACTTTATTATTTATTCATTTATATTAAAAATTTTAATTGAAATATAGTTGATTCACAGTGTTGTGTTAGTTTCAGGTGTACAGCAAAGTGATTAAATTATGTGATCCAGGGATCAAACCCTGGTGTCCTGCATTGGCAGGCGGATTCTTTACCAATGATCCACCATGGACGCTCCAGTTGTATGTGTGTGTGCGTGTGTGTATACGTGTGTATATATATATATATATATACATATATATATATATATACATTTTTACTTTTCTAACAAAGACATCATGAGTGGATAAATAGACTGATAAACCTTTTAGGTCTTCCAATGCTGCCTGAAATCAACTTATTGACCACTTCTATCTAGTCATTTGTCTGCATCTCTTGGATCATGATTTCCATCATCTTCTTTTGGGTTTGGCAGACCTGTTGATGCTAAGCATAAGAGTTCTTCTGAACCTGATTGTTGCATTTTCTTTTCTTTTTAATAAAGCCAAGAGAAAACAGACAAGCAAATAACCACCAGTAATCTTGACATCAACATGAGCTTCAATCACAGTCTGCCATTTTTGACCATGGAGCATGTTTTGTCACAGGTATCATTGCCATGGAAATTAGGCAGCTTTTGCCCTGAACATCCTCAGTAATTAGCTTGAAGTTTTAAAACGCCACTTCATCATTCTGCACATCAGCAAGGCTCACTTCAAAAACAACAACCCCAGAGGCCATCAGATGGATTTGGGTACCCAGAGTTTTTATGACTAGTGTTTTTCCCATATTTCTTATATTGAACATAGGTGATGCTTTCACATTATACCAATCTTTCCTATGAAACAGACCAACCACTTGCTTCTTGGTTACCTTTTTGCTGTCTTTCATAAGGTGCTTGTTGCTGACCTCCAGAGAGCCAGAAGGTAGAACCTGCATTTTTATTTTTTTTTCCTCACCCATGAACCTGCATTTTTAAAAGGAAGCACTTACAAGCTGGTCCAGTGTTTCTCAACTCAGCTCTACGGAGTATTTGGGGGTGGGGAATTGTTCACACATTCTATGACAATTTTTAAGCTTGAGATTTTAAAAATTTTACTTATTTGACAAGTGGGAATCTTCACTGCTGCAAGGGCTTTTCTCCAGTGGTGAGTGGGGCTTCTCATCACAGCCTCTTGCCTTCTTGCAGAGCTCCGGCCCTCCAGCACTCAGGCTTCAGCCGTCGTGGCACGTGGGCTCGGTATCCGTGGCTCCCCGGCCCTAGAGTACAAGCTTAGTAGTTCTGGTGCACAGGCTTAATTGTCTCAAGGCAGGTAGAATCTTTATGGACCAGGGATCAAACCTGTGTCTCCTGCATTGGCAGACGTATTCTTTACCACTGAGCCAACCAGGAAGCCAAGCTTGGGATTTTTAATGATATGATTTTAATATTTATTTTTAAATATAACTACCAAGTTTCTCTTTTGCAGTGACATTTCATAACTGAAAGGCTTCCCCCCCCCCCTAAGATTTACTTACTGGCTGTGGAGGGTCTTCATTGCTTTGCACAGGCTATCTCTCCTTGGGGCGGGCAGGGGCTACTGTTCCTTGGTGCACGGGCTTCTCTGGTGGAGCGCCTGTTCTAGGGCCCACTGGCTCAGTAACTGCCATGCAGAGGCTTAGTTGCCCCTGGGGAAAGTGGGATCTTCCAGCGTGAGCGATTGAACTGGTGTCCCTGCATTGCAAGGCAGATTTCTAACTACTGGACCACCATAAAACTCCCTCCATGAGGGTTTAACCAGAGGTCTTTGCATTATTCAAGTGTGTAGCACAGATCAAGTGCTTTTCAGAGTGAGCTTGACCCAAATCTGCTCAATAGCGTCTTGCCTTCCCAACTTGAGAGCAGACTTGGTTCTGACCTAGCCCCATGTCCTAAGAGATGTCCTAGAATGTCCACTTTATCCTAGGGTGGTGGGCTGGCAGTTCAAAGTTGCTTCAATGTTAGGTGCCTGGGGTGAAGACTGAAGTCCTTGGTCTCCGTATCTCTGGCGTTTCCTTAGACCACATGCTGTACAGATACTTCAAGAAGGTTCACATCTACACACCAGATTGCTCCCTTGGAAGGGTGACTGCTGGAACCCATCCCATGGCAATGATGATATGGAAAGCACAAAGAGCTTGGGAACCAGTTACGCCTAAATTCAAATCCCACCTCCGCACCCCAACTACCCTGCAGTGTGGCTTTGGGAAGATGACACATTCTGTGCCTCAGTTTCCTCACCTGAAAAATGGAGTCAGTAACAAGTCACACAGTGGTTGTTACAAAGTTACGGGAGGCTTCTCTTGCATAACCAAGCCACTGAGTTTCTCTCCATCAGTTGGCATCAAGAGCACATCGGCTCATCGGGCCCTGAGGAGCACAAGTGAATTAATTCCTGGTCTGACACTATCACAGTCTCAAGCGTTGGTAAACCTGCTCGGTTGTCCCAAACAGTGCAGAGGGTGAGAGCAGTTATGTGGCCGTGTGTTGGCACTGGAGGAAGGCCAGGCGCGGAAGCGTGGCGCTTCCTCACTCCAGCCTGGCTCCCCAAGCGGCGTTCCGACCTTGGAGAACCTCCCGGGGTCTGCAGGGAGGTGCGGGGCGAGCTGAGGCGACGCGCGGCGGCGCGCACCTTCCCACCTGGCGCCGCCCACAGGCCGCCCCGCGCGGGCCCGCCGCGCTGACAAGTGCGCGCGCGCGTCCTCTGCGCCGGCCCGTGGCGCATGCGCGCTCTGCGCCGTCTTCTCTCAGCCAGAGCGGCGGCGGCGGCGGCGGCGTTTGAGTGGAGGAAGATGGCGGCTCCGGGTGGATCGGTGTCCCGCCAGCTGTGAGGAGTCCCGAGTGCGGCGGGCGCGGCCTGGGGCGCAGCGCCTCTGCTCGCGTCCTGTCCGGGGTTCCCTCACCGGCTTCGCCAGCGGAGCGTACCCGAGAACGTGGCGCGGGCTAGGCCAGGTGAGGCCTCTTCCTCTCTCGGGGCCGCGGCTGGGAGCCGGCGTCTTCTGCCCTTTATGCGCTGGGTCCGGCCCAGGCCTTGGACCCCGCGCGGGGGTCGGTGCTGGCTGTCATGGGGTCCTCGCTGTAGCCTTCCCGCCCTCCCCGGGTGAGGCAGGGAGGAGGAGAAAACCCTTTTCCAGGCAGCCTCTGGGATAGGCGAACCCGGCCTCTGCCCTCTAGCAGGACGGTTTTCGTCCCCCCTCCGGGGCCACGAAGGGTGTGTGACCGGGGTTAAGGGTGGCTTTGAGGTGTCAGATCACCTTCCACCCCGCCCCCAAATCTTTAACGCCTTTCGGGAGGCGCCGGAGTCCGGTACTGTGCAAAATTGGGGCTGCGGCGAGAAGCCATCATCTCTGAAGCTGCTGCTGCAAAAGGAAGATTTTGGAATTGGCTTTACAAAATGAAACACAAACAACCTTTCCTACCCTTTTAGCTTTTTGAGTGTTCCCCTAGCGAAGTAGGAACTGCGAATCTCCTTGATTAAGACAGCAGCCCACGTTGTGACTGGAAGGCTTCTGGCGAGAATTGTTTGTGCAGAGGGAACCGTGGAGGGTGGGAACCAATTTGCAAACGAAGAAAAAACAGTTGTAAGATCCTGATAGTCTCTGCAGAGTAACTTCGGTGCTAACGAAGCCCTCGTTCCTTTGAAACCTTTGGATTGTTAAGATTTCGATACCCGGTTGCTTTTGTCTACTGATCTCTGAATTTTATTAGGAGAATAAAAGCTCTATTTCTTAATTGCCATAGTCTTTGGCCTCTTCTGTGGCGGGATTCCGGTTGCTGAGAACACATCACCAGTTCTCGAGTGCTGGCGGGGACATGGTACCACACTTGGCCTTTTTGAGAACAGCTTCTGTTGCTGTTCTTCAGATGCTAATGTGGAGACTCTGATTTTGTTTCTCTAGTAGAGAAGCCAGTTTGAAGCCTTACGGTCTCTTCCTTGAGGAATGATGGCTTCAGTTGCAGTTGTGCCATGGGAAATCGTTGAGGCGACAGCCTTGGCTTCGACACACCAAATACCTTTTGTAACGTATATTTGTTCAACTAGTGCTTAAGAAGGATGACATCATGGGTTTAAAGGGACAAGAAAATCTGAGGGGAAATAGCATCATTTTGAATTGAGCATTTAAGATTTAGTCTGTAGCTTTTACTGGGAATAGTGATGCTCTGTTTCAGATCCCTCATTTTGAGCGTATGCGTGTATATAAACTGGTTTCCTTTCTATTGTATGATGTCATTTTATATTCTATAACTGTTCGCTTTTGACAAGCCTAGTATAAGTATTACTTTTATCTATATTGACCCATGGGTTTTCAGTCTGTTTCAGAAGCTTTTAATTTTTAGAAGAACAACTGTTTAATGTTAGCTAATTTGGGGACCTTTTAAAATTTTTTCTCTTAAAGCCTCTTCCATAGGGATTTGTAGATTTTCTCAGTGCCTTTGCTAAGGACATAAACCTAAACCAGCAACTTCTCCATTTTAGAAAGTTGGAGAGCCACTTTGCGTATCAATTTGCTAATAGTCATGAGATTAATGCAGTAGCATCCTGGTGGTTTGACATTACGCTTCTTGGCATACCGTGTTGTGGTGTTGTGCTAAATCATCATCAGGTATTGATGCAACTTCATGACATCCATGACATCATTCACTCTCCAGCATTTTGCCTTTTGCAATTTCTTCTCAGAGTCACAGAAAAATAGGATCAGGAAAAATAGCTTAGGATGCTTCTCAGATGTCTGATTTCTGGAAGAGCCTTCTCCAAAACTGCTTTATGCGGTTAAAACCCTCCTCTAAGACTGGGAGCTGTGTAGCTGCTACATACTGTGAAGATGCTGCACAGCCTCTAGGTTTTACAAGGATATTGGAGTCCCAAGAAGTTACTCCAAAGATGAACAAAAATACATGATTATCTTTGTGATTTCAGCTTCGTTTTAGTCAGTATGTATAAAACCAGAAGCCATTTGTTTAAATTATGCCCTTCCCACTTCACAAGATTGTTATGTGAAACAACAGTGTTTGTGAAAATGCTTTGTAAAATAGAAGGTGAATGTAAAATTGATTATTCAGTAATCAGTTTTATGAAAATGCCTATTGAGGGCCTTCTCTGTGCTGGACAATCTGGGAAGTAGGTCCTGATGATTCTAAGACAAGACAGCTTTTGGTCTCAAGTTGCTTGCAGTATGGTCTGGGAGCCAGTCTAAGAAATTAGTTAAATACATTAGTGTGTAAAAAATGCACTGAATCCAACCAAGGGAGTAAGAAAGTCTTCTCAGAGCCAGGGTGGGTTTCCCCAGCCTTTCCTATTCTGCAGAAAAATATCCCTTTTGTGAGCAACCTGCTTTTTATAAAAACTTAGAAAAAAATTCTATCGTGAGTTCTTTTCCTCTTTTATTCATTCAGTGTTATGACACTTCCCACACAGTGTGCCCCAATTATGGTTTATGCATTCTCAAAAATCCACCAGTCTTGGAAGAACCTTTTTGAGAGTGAGTCATATGAACAAGAGATAAACACAAACATTGCAGCTGCAATTAAAATATCTCAAATTACTAAGTGGTGAGAACTTTAGAGTGATGATGCTTTTGTTTTTGTTTTATAAATGGGCACAAGCAGTACTGTATGATTCTAATTTGATCACACTTAATCAGTGTTTAGTTGTCCCTTAGAATGTTGACTATTAGTGATTATTAATACTATCTCATTTCCCAATAATAAATAAAGCAAGAATGTCCTTCTCCTTTTGAGGTGAAGCCGACAGCTTAAGCCAGAACTATACTAAACTATTTTTTAAAATATATTTATGTAGATTGAGGCTGCTTAGCATCTCTGATCTTGAACTTCTGTTCAATACAGTTTTCTCATCTTAGTGTGTGGTATTTTATAATCAATGTAGCATGCTGTTACCCACATTGCAAAAATTTTTACAGATGTTTGAATTGAGTGGAATCTGTAAGTGGTGCAGTATTGGACACATACCATCTGTATCTTAACTGAAAATGAGTGCTTTAAGGTAGTGGTTGACAGAAAAGTGAAGGTGATGTATTCATTTTTCTAGCTTACGTGTAGAAAGATAGAACCTACAGACAAGTCATTTTAAAATTGCCCAGTATTAAACTCATAACACTATGGCTTATTTTAAAAATAGTTTCTTGTGACATTCTTCTAAATGTCTTGTGAAATTATGACTTAGTGGTACTCTTTTTTTTTTTTTTTTTTTTTAGTGGTACTCTTATAAAGCTTAATTTTGTGTTTCCTTACTCACGCATGTATCAGAAGGCAAATTTGCTTCTGAGTTCTGATTCTTCTGGTACTAAGTTTCTTTTTTTTTTTTTTTTAAGTTTCTACTTTTTAATTTCTAAAGTTTTCTCCTAGGCATTTAATTTTTTTCCAATGTTACTGTTCTGTTTTGCTTCAAAAGTGGAAGTATCTTGTACTTTAATGCTTATTTATATTCATAAATCTGATAAATGTACAGATATTATATAAAGCAATAGTTATTTGTAAAATTTTATTATGGATAGTATCTTGGCTTAGACAGTAACATGTTTTCTTTTGTCTTCTAGTAATATTGAATACATAGATTTCACGTAGTTCATACAATTTCTTTAAAGGCAGACAAGTTTTAATTTTAGCTACTAATATTCTCTTAGAATATTTAATATTTAGGATAATTTTATTTCAGCTGTTTTAAGGAATTCCCTAGTATGGCATACTCTCCCAAATCTGTTTCCTTTATTATTCTCATCTTAAATGTTTGCTTCATGTTACTATATAGAGAACAAGAAATTTTTCTTCTAGAATGAACCTCTTGGTGCATTGTTTGGAGAAAGGTTGATGTTAACTGTAAGTTGATCAGCACAGTTTTACCAAGTGTCTCTTCTCCCATCTGCTGTCTTTTCAGATGCAGATCGAGGGAAAATGGGGCTTATGCTCCTATCTCAGTGCTTGTCTTTAAGGTTTTTACTAGCACTCTTGCTCTCTCTTGCCAGAAAGCAGCAGTGTCTTGTCTTTCTGTGGTTGATCCAGCAGTGTTGTTTGCTGTCGGTTCTACAGGGCTGCTTTCTCACCTTTTGCTCTGAGCTACGTGGCGTCTTTCCAAATAGACCCTTTGGTCTCGTCAGAATCAAGCACACTGCTCTCTTCCTCACTTCCCTGTGGGTCCTTCAGACTTTGATTCGTCTTGTCCTTCTTACCTCTCCCCACCTTTATGCTTCCACAGTAAATGTAGTTCTCTCTTCAAAGCGTGTTTCATAGATCATAATGGAATTTTGGAAAATAATTCTCTATAGAGATGCATCATAATATGTGGGTTAGAATTTCACATTTTATTTAACTTAAAAGTAACTTAATGGTAATGAATCTTAAAGACGTTGCATTAGGTGAAATAAGCCACAAAAGAACAAATACTCTATGATTACAGTTGTATGAGTTCCCCAGAATAGTCTTAATTCAAAGCGAGAGAAAGTAGAATGACAGTTGCTGGGACAGAGGAGAAGAGGGAAAGGGGAGTTACTATTTAATTTTAGTTTGGGATCAAAGTTCTGGAGGTATATGAGGTGACGGTTACCCAGCAATGTACTTGATGCTACTAAGCTGCGTATTTGAAAATGATTAAAATGACAGTTTTTATGTAATGTATAAACACACACAGAGGAAGCTTAATGGTTTACATATGCTCTGTGGGCTGGATTGATAATTATTTATTTCAGTATAGTAATTAAGATCATAGACTTTGGCCCCAGGGAGACCCAGGCTGTGTCCTATCTAGTTCTGCTACTTTCCTTGGGTATGGACCTTAGGTTCTTTAACCCTCAGTTTTTTCATCTATAAAATGAGGGTAATGCCCATGTTTGGGGACAATTAAGTTTCAGAATGCAAATGAACTTCTCAGCATATTGCCTAGCACATAGTAAACACTCAAGTCTTGAATATTATTACTACATTGTTTTATGAAACGT